GAGGTAACTAAATTCAGGTGGTGCATCTTCAAGTTTATGTGTAATAGTCATAAACTGTAGACCAGTTTGTGTGTCAGGTTTTGTCTAAGTTTTTAACAGCCTATTTCAAAAAATCTAAAAAATAATAATTTATATTTTCATTTCACTCCAGTAAAAAAATAAGATAATTAGGCATAAGGCTGTTTTGCCGGATTCTAAATTTTTAAATATTATACCTGAGTTAGAATAGTTACTAAAATAGTTATAGCCATTATAGGACGGAATTCGRCACCAGCCAATCAGGTTATTTTTTTGGGTTTCTGTGGGTATAGGTAATTAAAACAAGATAACATTGAAAACGTACCATATATTATCACTTACTCGTTTAATTTTTAATTTGCCATAATAATGTTATTATAATTATTTCATCAAAGTACTCCACCTGCGTCAAATTTCAAACTGATTGATAGTACAGTACTAGAGACCTTCGAAACATTCGCGTAATCCGAAACATTAAACAATGATCACACATGTAAGTGCACAACTTGGATAAAACCCATCATGGTAAGCCAATAATCATTCCTAATTCATTTGCTCGGTATAGAAGATTATTTCGAATTCAGTTTCATAGGTGACAATAAACTAAAGCTATAATATGTCATTGTTAAGATGCACTTAACCATAGATCACCACGGACAGTGCTGCAGAAAATAACGTATATAGGTATTTAATACTTAATGGAATATTGATCGAAATTGTCTTAAGAAACGTAAAATTAATTTTACTCGAACATTAAAATAAATGTTTTTGTTATCATATGCAGTTAGCAGTTTCAAGGAAAAAWTTTTTCAGTATTATTTTTTATAATTAATATTAAAAAACCAATTTTATCTATTTCAATATTAAGATGTTAAAAATCAAATTCTTTATATTATGTATATAACTATAAATTATTACCGGTTGGTCCTGTAAGTAATAGTAATTCCGATTATTAGATTTTAGTTAAGCTTTTAATACGAATATAATTTTTAAGCTATTTTATCAAGCTTTAAAATTTTTAGTTGCTTTGAAATAAAGCAGTTTTCCAAATTGACTAGAAAACGTTGTTCGTAAGTCTTAATTGTAAATGTTTAATTAAAGGAAATTAAAAACAGGTGGATTTGTTGATTTTAAAGTATGTGACATGTGACTAATAAAATAATACTATTTTAACAAATGAAATTAATGAATACGAACTACTTTATCTTAGCATTACATTTGTGATTGTACTCTGCAAWTTACTAAAGAAGTGAGWKGAGATGTGTGTTTAAATTAAATATTTCGTTTCAATTTTCTGTCGGTATTAAGTCAGTATAAATTATTAAAACATCCGAAGCACAAGATGGTTTACATTTGGGAATAAAGAAAGAAATGTATGAAATAAAATATTAATACGAAAACAATTTAATTTGTAGTTCAAAGAAAAACATAACGTGTTATTAGTTTTTGATATTATAAGCATAAAACAACAATAATTTAATATATTTTTCATTATTGCAGGAATACTCTATATCTCATACTGCGTTTGTTTATTTACCATACATTTTAACATTGATTTCATCGATTTGATGTACGTTATATCAACACATTCCTATTCATATTATTGGCACCTATAACAGGACTATAGACAAAGCAGAAAATCATTAAAAATAAATTCAAGATCTTCAGTGATTCGACTTGTTATTACGAATAGCTGCAAAAATATAATATATATTATATAACATGTATACCTACGTGTCCGAAAATCAACAGGAATAATGTCAATATTCATTAGTAAGTTGTCAACATCATAATAGTGATTAGTTAATGAGCAACAGGTATATATTTTACGCGGTGGTTGGGTATTTCGTACAATTATTATTAAATCATCCGCAAAAATACATGACCTTAATAAATTTGAATATCTTCCATCAATTTCGTATGAATTTATAGTGTTTAATGAGACGAGTTTGGAAAGGTTGAGTTACAGTTAGAATAGCCCAAGGGCGAACAAAACATTAAAAAAAAAAAACCGACTAGTTGATAAAGATACAGAAAATGTGTACACGCGAAGGACTTATAATAGGACAGCGCGTAGAGCCAACCAAATAGTGGTAATCTTATTATTCGAGAATTTGAGAATCAAAACATTATAATAACTGCACAAATGAACACAATGTATGATGAAGTATGAAAACTATAGTAATAAATTGTAAATATTATGATGGTGTTTAGTTTTATGTTTTGCAATATTCATCGCTACTTACTATAAGTCTGGCCATTGAGTGTTGAATATTTTTAGTTCAGTTACAAAATATTTGAAAGATACTTGTTGTCAGTGGCGTACACATAAAAATTAATTTCGGGGTGGGAGAGAGGTTAAAAAAATTTTCTATTCAATATATTATAAACTAACTCTTTTAATGATATTATAGACATAATACATTAATTGAATAAAACAAATAGATATAAATATAATTTAAGGACAAAATCTAATTATTGATGCCGATTTAAATTCTAATAATTAGGTTTGAACCACCAAAAGCCACCTAACCTAACCCTTATATACGCCACTGCTTGTTGTACTGTGATCACATTTTTTTTTTTACTCCACAGCTCTAAAACAACTGTTTTTTTAACTGCACAAAAATGTAGGCAATACCTACCTGATTAATAACCGCCGAAAGGTAGATTAGGTAAGTAGGTACAGTTTTAGAATGTTGAGTCGATATTATAAAACATGACACATACAATTAAAAAATGATAATATACTATTCAAATTTATTGTAAATGGTAAAAAATTAAAACAACATCTACTATATTATT